CACTCCATCAGCTTCTTCCCACCTCTGGGTGTTGCCATGTGCTGTTCGCTCTCTGGATTGCTCCTGACCTGCCTGGGTCCTTCCCGTCATTGGCTTCTCCACTCACAGAGCCCCTTCCATGGAAGGGCCTTCTGTCCCAGGCCCGTAACCCCCACACTTGCCTCCGTTTCCCCATTTCCCTCTCAACACCAAGGCCTGCGAGAGACCGTCTTACTTGGCGGCGTGCATACAGCCCTCTTCCCCAGCCCCCCTGCAGATGTGCCCCGGGAGGGCCGGGGCTTGTCCACCTTGTGATTCTCGCCACCCTGTGTCTTCAGGGCCTAGAAGAGTGTGGGAAAATTGGTGATTTTGCAGGAAGTCGATGAGTGAATGGAAGAATGAATGAATGAGTAAATGAACAAAGCCTCCTGTGGCCGTTCCAAGGCCCGACTGAGGCCACCCTTCACCAGACATCCCCTTCCGTTTGGCCACGTTGCTTGGGGCTGGCCCCGGGTGGATGTTAGAGCAGCTCAGGGTTGCCGACGGAGGGGCAGCTGCCCGGGTCGGTGGCGACGCGGTGGGCGTCGAAGCGCGTGTCCTCTGAAGCGGGGTGAGCTGCAGGTCAGCTGCAGAAGTGGGAGGCCTGCCTTGCTGCCCCGGGAGAGCTTAGCTCGACGTCCTGCCTTGCTCAGGCCGCCAGGGCCCGGCCACTGCCTGGGTGTTTGGAGTGCATTTGTCCAGCCTGCCCTTCCGTCTGTCTAGTTGCCGCTGGGAGGCCAGTGTCTGGTCTGGGAGGCCAGTGCTCCGTGTACGGCATGCCGGGGAGGACGGGTGAGGGGTCCAGGCAAGGGCTGCCCCCTGGGGTCCCAGGAACAGGACTGAGCCAAGGACGTGGTAAGAGTAAACCAACCAGGGGGCCTGGCCTTCCGGGGGGGGGGGCTCCCTGCTCCTGCCTTAAAGGAATGTTCTGTGGTTGGTGGGGTCAAGGGTAGAGGAGTGTGGCTCCATCACAGGCTGGGGAGAGTGAGGGAGAGCCGCGAGTTCCTGCTCCGTGTTCCTTTGCTCTGCCAGGAAAGTGGGATATGGCTTCCGGGGTGGGGTGGGGGTGCTCCCCGCCCAGGGCAGGCTGTGGGGAGTGGCCGCCCTGTCATCAAGGCAGCCTATTTTAGCCACTTCCCCAGTGCTGAGTCATGGCAAATAGCAACGCCCCCTGCCAAACACACAGCTCTTTGGCACCGTCCCCTTCCTGGTGGGCTCTTGGGCCTCCTGACCTGCCCCCGGGACTGGGCCCGGGCCACCTGCTAGTCTTTAATCTCGGGATTCCTCACCCCCACGTTGCTGTGGGTTCAGAGCTTAGGGTTCTCACCGGCCCTGAAGCCTGGCCCGTCTGGTCTGAGCTCCAGGATTCCAGAAACCCAGACCTTGGCCCCACTTCAGGGCTCCTTGCCGGGCAGTGGGATGGGCATGTAGGTGGCTCCACAGAGGCCCCAGCTCTCTCTCGAGACTTGCTCATGCTGGGTGTTGGAGATGCTTGGCTTTTTATAAGCCAGGAAGCCTCATTCCTGCCCCCAGGGAGTGAGACCGGAAGCAGCAGGTGGCACTGGCCAGACGCTGGCTTTCTCTCTGGGGTGTAGGGCCGAGCAGGGTGCTGGGGGGTCCTGCGTGGGGGCTGGCCTCTCCCCCCTGTTCTCCCGTTGTACCTGCCAGGATAGAAGGGGCGCTGATGGGATGATGGGACCCTCCGGTCCCGTAGTCGTGGTGGCCAGAGTACCAGGTCCCCGTGAGGGGCCGCGGGGCTCTCCACCAATGTGCCGCGGCCCTGGCAGCTGCGTCTGTGGTTCCCCTTTCTCTTCCCTGTGGGGAGCACGTCACACGGGGAAACCACAGTGCTGGAAGTTGCTCATGCCCTACACTGAAGCCCTTAACCTAATTCTGGAAGTTCACGTCATGTGTTCCCACCATTCTAACCCCCGATGTCCCCTGGCCTGGCTCCCCTCTTTTTTTGTTTACCTGGTAAATAGTATCAGCTTTAGTTTCATAGCTGTGTTCTCAACCCCGGGCAATCTTGCACCCCCGGGGGACGTTTGGCACGTCTGGAGACATTTGAGGAAGCAGCCAGGCTCCTCCTCTTTCTGGACTCCTCTGGCCTGGAAGCAGGGAGGGGCGTCCCTTTGGTGATGGTAACCGATGAGGGACGCCACCCACCAAAGGCCGCAGAAAGGTCTGGACCGGGAGACCAGCTTCTCACCCAGCCCTCCCCTTTTTAGGGCACAAAATGAGTCACTTTGCTTCAGTACACCTGTTTTCTGGGGCTACACTGGGTGTCCTCACCTCTACCCCCCCTCCCCCAGCCCCTGCCCAGCTCTTTGAGATCCCAGGACTCTGTGGCTAGAGGCAGAAGCTGGGCCACAGGCAGGTGAAGATACGAGCCCTTTCCATTCTTGTCTCCCTGCCCCGGTGGCTGCAGGAGCTGAGGGATTCCCCAGTACCAAGGTGCCGGTGGGAACCCGGTTTGGTTTCCTTCTGTTCTTCACATGTCTGAGGCCTACTGCAGCCTCCCTTTCTCTTTGTTGGCCAAAGAGAGTTGCCCCTCAAAGGTTGGCCTGAGAGCCCATGGCTGGCCCAGAGGGTCACATACGGTGTGACCTTCTTCTGAGCAGCGGCGAGGGATTGACCCCGAGGCCAGTACTTTCCATGTGTGTAGTTTAAGAGTCAGCAAACCCCGGCCCACGGGTCAAATCTGGCCCACAACTTGTTTTTATATATAAAGTTTTATTGGGACACAGCCACACCCTTCGTTGCTGCCTTCCTACTACAAAGACCGTAGCATCCACGAAGCCAAAAATCTGGAGTCTCTGGCCCTTTGTAGAAAATGTTGGCCAATCCTACGTGTTGGTCCAAATGTTGGTCTAGCTGTTCTTGTCTAATTGTTTAGAGGTTAGATCTCGGGGCGTGGGCAGGAGAGGGAGGGTTCAGGTTAGGGGTCGGGGAAGCTAAGTCACCTGAGGGTTTGGTGGGGAGAAGGAGAAATGGGAGAGCTGACTGCCTGTAGTGGGTCATCTCAAGGCCATCAGGAGCCCAGGTCACCTGTGTGGCAGGTCGGCCCCGGTGCCTGGCTCCTTACCACACGTCCTACAGAACTTTGTTTGCTGGAGTGACAAGCGTGTGACTGCCTGGGGCTGGCACGGGGTTGGGAGGGGCGGCACTTGCCGGTGGGGGCGCCATCAGACTGGGCGTCAGCAGCTGGACAGGGAGTGAGAGCCCTTGAGGGGGATGGGGGTGGACAGTGGTGGTTGGAGGACAGAGAGGTCGGGCTGGGAACCCTGGAGTGGTCTGTAGGCTTTAAGTGAAGCCAGCACTGCCGCTGCGCTGGGAGGGCAGGACGGGGGTATTTGACGACCCAGTGCTAGATGGGCTTCAGTAGCCAGCAGGCCCATCGGAACCTTCTGGAAGCTCAGAGTCCAGTGGGATGATCACAGCCCAGGGGGCAGGAATAGAACGATGTAACGGTGCCTGTGGCAGAGGGGACACCCAGAGCGCTGCGAGGCCAGAGGAGAGGTGGCTGAGAGGGCATTGCCCAGAAGTGACGTCTCAGCCGAGCCCTGAAGGACGTTGGGCGAGCCAGGTGACAGGGTGTTCCAGCAGGGACCTGCATAGGTCCGGTCCTGGAGGCCAGGAGGCAGAAGCTCAGGGGCTGGGGCAGAGTGCAAAGGTAGGGGGCGGGCGGCAAGGAATGGTATAGGGTTAAGGAGGGAGGCGAGGACTGGTCGCCAGATCAAGGGGTCTGCCCTGGGGACTCCCAGATGGGTTGTTTTAGATAAAAGGTGACCAATTGTCTAGAGAGGGATGAAAGGGGAAAAACGGTCATCTGCTGGGCTGGTGTCAGGGGCCAGGTGGGATGTGGTGGGCTAGCTCGGGGGGCAGCCCTGGGGGTGAGGAAGAAACCGGTGGCGTTCGTACCCATGCTTTGCAATGGGAAGGGTGGGCCTGCCATGAGGAGGGTTGAGAATTGCTGTCGGCCAGACTGGTGGCAACCCCACCGCACCCCTCACCTGCCCTCCTTGGCAGGTCCCCGTGCATCTCCCCACCCTGCTCAGCCCTGCACTACTCCTGGGGTTAGCATTGGGGGCAGGTCCCTCTGGAAGGGAAGGGGCTGGTTTGGCTCCATCTCGGCTCTTGCCGGGAGCTCTGCGGGTGGTACCTCGAGCTTCCAGACGGCCCAGGCTCTCCTGGGCTCCCCAGGTCTGCAGATCTTGGGGGCCAGACCATCCAGCCCCTGCCCTCTCGCCCCCCCCACCCACGATGAAAGAAATCGGGAGCCAGTCAGTTCTCTTCATCCCCAAGAGGCACCGAGCAGGTCTTTGGCAAAGAGCTTGGGCCTGCAGTGGGGAGAGAGGTGCAGGCAGGGTCCTCATTTATGGGACACCCAGCGAGGACTGGAAGGCGGGGGAGCTGGTTCTGTGGGTCCCAGTGGCCCCACCCCAATCCTGATTCAGAAAGCGAGCCTGGCCGCCCACGTATCGTGCGGGTGCCGAGCAGCATCTCTCCGGGCCCGTCCTGCTGGCTCCCCCGCCACTCTGTGGACTGTGACTCAGGTTGAGGTGTCCGCCTACCTCAGGGATTGAGGTCAGATGGCAGGAAGAACTTCCAGCGTGACTCCAGCCCGGCTGTCCAGCCCCAGATTGCCGTGTGGACTCTGCTGCACCTCCACATCCCTCAGTGGTCGGGTTCCCTCTGGCCGCATCCTGGTTGGGGGGCCAGGATGTTGACCTTCTCCCAGGGGCAGGGAGAGTGTGTCTGTGGCTACCCTGACGCCATCTGGATTTGGGAAAAGCGCTCCCCTAACCTGGGTGCCTGTGCGTGAACAAAGAGGCAGGGTTATGACGCCGGTTGCCAGCTTGATTCGCAGTCGCTCATCCTGGTGGGAGAGCTGAGGTCTGAGCAGCGGCCCCCTTGGCAGGTGCGCTGTCCCTGTGCCACCTGCCCAGGTTAACCCTTTGCCTGCTGTTCTCTTCTTGCAGCCCTATGATCTCCTGGTCACCCCGTCCACCCGCCGGACTTCAGATCTGACCCCCGACCCGCCTGCCGCCTCCAGAGCCCCCCCCAGGCCCGCCCCCCAGCAAGATGCCCATCCTCAAGCAGCTGGTGTCCAGCTCGGTGCACTCCAAGCGCCGCTCCCGCATGGACCTCACGGCCGAGATGATCAGCGCCCCCCTGGGCGACTTCCGGCACACCATGCACGTGGGCCGGGCGGGCGACGCCTTTGGGGACACGTCCTTCCTCAACAGCAAGGCCGGCGAGCTGGACGGTGAGTCCCTGGATGAGCAGGCCTCCTCCTCGTCCTCCAAACGCAGCCTCCTGTCCCGGAAGTTCCGGGGCAGCAAGCGGTCGCAGTCGGTGACCAGGGGGGACCGGGAGCAGAGGGACATGCTGGGCTCCCTGCGGGACTCGGCCTTGTTCGTCAAGAACGCCATGTCCCTGCCCCAGCTGAACGAGAAGGAGGCGGCCGAGAAGGGCTCGGGCAAGCTGCCCAAGAGCCTGTCGTCCAGCCCCGTGAAGAAGGCGAGCGCCGGGGAGGGCGGCCAGGAGGCGGCGGGCGAGGGGGAGCTCGGGCCCCGGCGGAACGGGGCCGCCGCGCCCCACTCCCCGGACCCCCTCCTGGACGAGCAGGCCTTCGGGGACCTGACGGAGCTGCCCGTCGTGCCCAAGGCCGGCCTGGGCCTCAAGCACGCCGAGTCCATCATGTCCTTCCACATTGACCTGGGGCCGTCCATGCTGGGCGACGTCCTGAGCATCATGGACAAGGAGGAGTGGGAAGCGGACGACGAGGACGGCGGTTACCGTGACGACGGGGACGCGGCCCGCAGCACCCTGGCGCCGGCTCCCCTGGGGGCCGCGGCGGCCGCGGCGATCCCTCCCAGGGCCAGGCTGGAGGGTGCGACAGGCCGGGACCTGCCCCAGGACGAGGGGTGGGCGGCGGCCCCCAGCCCCGGCTCGGCCCGCAGCGACGGCAGCCACACCACGCGGGACAGCAGCTCCCTGTCCAGCTGCACCTCGGGCGTCCTGGACGAGCGCAGCCCCGCGTCCCGGGGACCCGACCGGGCCCGCGCCCCGCTGCCCCGGCAGCCCGACAAGGAGTTCTCCTTCATGGACGAGGAGGAGGACGAGGAGATCCGCGTGTGAGGGGCTCTGGCTCCCCCCGGCCCCCGGGCCACCGTCCCCTTCCCGGCCCCAGCAGACCCTGGACCTCCCGGCACCTCCTGGATGGACGGACGGATGGACGGATGGACGGATGAGAGGCGCTGGCCGGGGCTGCACGGTGCAGCCAGCCTCCCAAGCGCCGCGGGACAGGCAGGTGCTTGCGGGGGGACCCGCTGTCCCTCTCCTCTGCCCCGGCCTCAGACGGATGCCAGACGTCAGCCCGGCTCCCTCCTGGTGCGGCGGCCCCTGCAGGTCAGCCCAGGGTGGGCCGGGTGCCACCGCCAAGGACACGTGGCTCGCCTTTCCCCTCTTGGCGTTTCTGCTGTGACTGTGGCCGTGTGGCAGGAGGAAGGGTGGCCACGGGCCCCGGCCCCTCCATCCCTCGTCCCCGGCTCCCCTGGAGCAAAGCCGGACCGCATGTGTGCACTAAACGCAGCCCCTTCCCGGGGAAGAGAACGGGATGGGGAACGAAAGGAGGCCCCAGGCTTCTTGAATTTTCTAGAAGGGGCCCTTTCCAGGTTGACACTAGGAACAGGCTGGGCGCTCGCTCGGTCCCTATCGATTTGTTGGTTCTTGTCCTGTTTAAAGCCTTGCAGAGCACTGTCTGGAGCCGTGTTGGTAGGTCTGCCACCAGAAGCAAAATCGAATCCTCTTAGAAAACCTTTATACTAAGTGCTTCCAAACTTTATTTAGAGCCGTATGGGGTGGGTGTCCGTGCGTGTGTCTCCCTCCTCCCGCCCCATAGCTATTAACAGTCAAAGGCAGCCAGTGTAGAAAATTTCTGGAAGATGATTTTTTTAAAAGATAATAATAATATATCATTCCTATGGAGGGATAAAGCTTTTTTGACTGGGTTACTGCCCCCATACACACACCCACTGACTACTTCCCCCTCCTTCAGGCCTTTGTCCCAGCAGGGCCCCCTCCCCCTACGTCCGAGCGCCCCGAGGGTATAGGGCTGCCAGATTTAGCGACCCAACAACTAGAATGCTGAGATAAATTAGAATATCAGGCACACGAAGGACAATTTTTTTAGTATAAGTATGACCCGCGCCCCGTTTGGAACATACTTAATGCTTTTTTAAAAAAAATGATTTGTTCTTTTGAAATTCGAATTTTAGTCTGGTCCCGTAGCCCTGCCCCAGGGGATGGAGTGGGAGCTTGTGTGTGTGTGTGTGTGTGTGTGTGTGTGTGTGTGTGTGTGTGCACGCGCGCCCCCAGGGTTAACTGGTGATGAGTGTCCTGCCCTGAGGACACGCTAAACCCACCTTCTCTCCTGTCCCCTCGGCTAAACCCACCTTCTCTCCTGTCCCCTCCACGCCAGTGTGGGGGAGGGGGCAGACAGAAGGACCCCAGGATCCAGCCCAGGGCCAGAGGGTGGAGCTACTCTAGCCTCCCAGATTTTCCCAGATTCTGGTCCAGACACTAACTTAGTTCCTGAATCCAGTACCCCCAACCGCGACCCCATCGGTGCTGTTTCCAATAGTGTGGCTCCCACATAGGGGAGGAATCAGAAGGGGCTGTGCAGCCCCTGCCAGCTGCCCTTGAAACCCATTCAGACCGTGGTCAGTTCCAGATTCTAAACTGTATATTTTTTTCATGGTATTGTTAAAACAGTGAGGAAACATTAAAAAAAAAAAAAATCCTGGTGGCAAGCGTGGTGTATGTCTCTGCTTCTAGGGAGAGCTATTTTCAGATGTTGGATGGTGGTGGGGGGGGCACGGGTGAGGTTGCAGACGGGGGTCCTGGGGCTGCTTCTGTGCCCAGTGGCTTCTCTCTCTGTCCCTTAGGGGCCCAGCCTCTGGAGGGACAAGAAGGCTCATGTGCGCATCCGCCTGGGCAGGCCTTGGGGGCTCTGGGATTTTGGTGCCCCACGTGCCACTTAACAGTTGGGGGCCCTTAGCTGGTTTGTGCTTCATTGTGCTCATCCGTGATACGGGAATCCTGCTGCTCTTACGGGGTGGGGCTGCAGTCACTGCCATGGTGTTTGCCAAGTTGCTACTAAACCGAGGGAGGCTGTATTCCAAGCCCCCAGGTGTCCCCATAGGTGACAGCAGTCACCACTGGGACACAGCAGGCACCACCCTCCCCTCTTCCTGGCCTTCTACTGTCTCACCTGGAGAGTGACCTTGCAGGCAGCCTCTTCTCTGCTCAGCCTCGTGACCTGTGAGGTGGATTCATGTCCCCATTTTATAGAAGAAACGTGCTTGAGAGGCTACGTGGCCACCTTCCCCAAGTCACTAAGTCGGAGAGTCAGGACATCAGGGACATAAAGCCCTTTATCTTGCTGCTCATGGGCTCCTCGAAGCTTCATTCCATCACGAAGTGAGGCTGCCCTGGGTGGGGACCTCGTGAGCCACCCCCCACCCATCCTGCTGGCCCAGCTCCTGCCTTGCCCCTTGCCTTCCCCACACCCACCTGCCCCTCTGCGTGGGCATCTCGCAACGTCAGGCGGGGTGGGGCGGGCTCTGCTAGCTGAAGCCCCCGCACGCCCTCCCATCCAGTGTGGCTGAGCTCCTGGAAACCCTGCCCCTCGCCTCGAGCAGCCACAGAGAAATTTGGGTTTGTGCGCCATCCTCCCTGGAAAGCAATTAGAGCCCTAATTAAAACATCTCCCAGGTCCTTCTGCCCCTTCAGGGGCTCATTCCCAGCTAATGAGGGATGTGGCTAAGGGTGGGAGTTGGAAGCAGGGTGCGGTGGCCCCAAGGTTGGGGTGGGGGGGGAGGAGGTGGGGTGAGAGGACGGGGCCCCTGGGGGCTGCAGTCCAGCTCCAGTGCTTCTGGGGAGAGGAGGTGCTGTTCACTGAAGCCCAGGCAGGTGCCGGAAGAGCACCTGGGTGGGGCTGTGCCTCCCAGACAGTGGGAACCCTCAGAGCCCACCCACAGCCCCTCACTCAGGATTCTTGAGGGTCTGAAAGAAGCTAGCCATGCTGAGACCACAGACCTGCTTTTTGACTCTTGGAAAAGTGCCCCAGGGGGTGCCTACAGAGACACCCGGCTGGACCCACCTGTAGGAGCATGCATTCTAGGGGGCTCAGTGGACCCAGCGGAGGATGGGGTCACCGGGCAGAACCAGCCCAGACAGACCAGCTCTCATCTCGGTTCGCTGGGTGGCGTTGGGCCACTGATAACTCCCTCTTGGGCGGCTTCAAGTTCTCCACCTTTAGAGTTAGGCAATGGCTCAGTTGTTTTCAACTTGCTACTAGAAGCTTTGCAGTGGGGTCATACATGGAACCCCTAATCACAAACAGACCGAGGCCAGAGCCTCCCTGAGTGGGGTTGGGGTTGGGGGGTCCTTACTCCCTCCCCTTTGGTCTTGGAGGTTCCCCTGAGGACCCCAGGGTCCCTGCAGAGCATGTCTCCCCTAAAAGATGTGCCGTAGGGCCCCTTCTACCTCCAGCAACTCAAAGCAGAGCCCAGGAACTGCATCTGGGCCATAATTTAGTCATTTTCATTCAGTTGACAGCCAACATTTCCAAAAATGGGCAGGGCCCCCAAAGCCTGCTTGCCCCGGGCAGGGCTGTAGTCATAGCCTAAGGGCACATGAGCACCAGCCCACCCTGGTCCGGCCATCACTGGGGTGTCTCCCCTCCACCACCCCCCACCCTGACCCCTGCAGCACGGGGCTCTGCTCATGCTTCGGGCACGTGCTAGTCTGTGCCATTACCATGGTGAGGGCTGGGTGTCAGCCGCGAGGACCGCCATGTGCCAGGCGGGGCCTTCGTATTGGCCTTGTTGATCTTCATGACACCTGTGTGAGGCCCATCCTGTTCCTATTAGCCCCATTCTACAGATGAGGGCACTGAGGCATCCAAAACCAAGGGAACAGGTCCAGCCCCCTAGGCTGGTAAACGGATGAACTGGGCACAGACCCACTGTCCCAACCTGGTGATGTGCACTCTGGGCCCTGGAAGGAGCAGTGGGGCCAGAGATCTTGCTGAGCAGATCGGCGCCAAGAGAGGCCGGACTGGTCAGGGTGTGCCTGGCTCACCTGGGCTGTGTGCCCAAGGGAAAGGGGGGTGCTGCTTGCTGGCGGCTGCTGATGCATGTCACCCAGAGGGCCCACCAGGAAGTGCAGAGGTCCTTCTGGGGTCACTCAGGCCCTGCCGGGCAGGACCAGGGCCCCAGGCTGGGCCCCTTGCCTCACAAGCCTGCATCCCGGGGCCTGTGCTCCTGCTGGTGTCCAAGCTCACCTTTGACCCTGTTCTTATGCACCCAGCCATCCCCACCCCTGCCCGCCCGCACCGGGGTGGCACCCAGAAGAAAGTGGACGAAGGAATCGAGGGTACCAGAACAGGTGAAGGAGGGGTTCTCAGGGTCTTCAAATTTTAGGAGCTGGTTCACCTTCCCCCTCCAGCCCCAATTTTACAGATGGGCAGGCAGAGGCTTCCGGGAAGGAAGTGCTGGCTGCACCCCGTGAGCAAAGCAGAGCAGAGGCTGAGGCAGACTGGACTGGCAGGGGCAGGGGAGGGGCAAGCCGAGCTGGTGGACTGGTGGACCTTGTGGGGTGCAGGTGCTTCCAGAGCCGGAGGTTAGTGGTCGGGGTGGCTGGTGGGGGACTTGACCTTTCCAGGTGTAGGTGGCACAGCACCCCCACCCATCCCTGGGTCACCCCCAGGCCCTGGCAACAGCCTCCCGAAGGGCCTCCCCTTTGCATACTGGGGCAGGTCCTCCCTACCTCCACCCCTACACTCCCCCCCCCCCCCCCCCCCCCCCCCCCCCCGCTCCACACCCGCCCTCTGCTGCCTGCGGTGACAGCCACATGCAGAGTCTCCCCGGGCCCTGAAGGCCCCGATCCGTTGTGGGAAAGGCAAGTTAGGAATAGTGAGGGGAGAGCTCATCTAGCTATTTCCCCTTGGCAACAGCCAGATGGGAGATTGGAAAGAACGTTTGGGGGAGGGGGATGCATGTGCAGACAGATGGATGTCAGCGGCTCTCCCTCTAAAAACCTGTTGCTCTAACCCACCAAACTGCTGCTCCCCGAAA